AGTGGGCATAAAATACAACAATGAGTACAAAGTGTCCGATAAATGTGTCTCTAATGACGACAACACTGTTTTGCACAGTATTTACGGTACGAAAGACTTTGGCGTTTGTTTTAAGTACTTCTCAAACGACGGAAATACTAATCACTTCTCTCTTATTGACGACCATTTCGTTGAGTTTCGCATATCGTATGAAAAAATACAAAATCTACTCTACATTCACACTAATATAGACGTTAACTATACTGAAAACTACATCAATAGAGATCATTTTTATAGAGATGTAAAAATTAAGTCATTTAATGAATATCTGGTATTATATGTATTCGTGGATCAAATGTCTAATGAATTGATGGCAACGAAAGGGACGGCACTTAAGATACCGAGTGTTGGCATTAATGCCAGGATTAATATTCACAACACATTCGTTAATAGATTATCCACGCCTTACATGCAATACTGTAAACACAATCAAGGTAAATTTAATATAATTAACAAATTCTATATATTCTATAAAATTGAAATATTTTCTAACTCAATACAAATCAAAACTTATAAAATAGGTTCACAAAGCGATTGTTTCTGGGATTGCGTGTACAGAGTGTACAACAAATCACATCAATGTATACCAAATCCATATCTGAATCACAATTTTATTCTCCAAAATGCAAAACAAAAAATGTATGAGTTTTGCAATAATTCTGTGGTTTTCAACGAATCGGTTGTTAATTACAAATATTGTAGAAATAGTTGTGTTAACGATTGCCATTACATTTACCACACCTTAGAGTTGGATAAAACAGAGTTTATGGGACTCACGGATAGTGTTTTCACAATTCAATACAAACCATATCAAGAATTTAAATATACAAGTGATAAGAAATATTCAATTTTTAATTATTTTTCAGACATCGGGGGTTTATTTGGGCTGTGGTTTGGGTTAGCCTTCATAGACACAAGTGTTTTAATTGCATCATTATTTTCACAAATCAAACGTATATTTCTGTTAATTATTAACGAAAAATTCATAATTTTATTTCAATTGATATACAATCGCATGAATCGATTGCTATCACGACTGGAATCGTATAATTGGCGTCGAATTGTGTCAATCATAACAATACCAGTAATTGTTTCGCAGATCTATTCATTAACTAACGATTATTTTTCATTTCCCACACAAACGACACTCGAAATGATTAAATTCACGGATATTTCCACAAATAGTATACCCTTTGAGTCTATACCAGCCGTCACTCTATGTTATGAACACGTATTCAAAAACATCATATTTAATGAACACATCCGAGAATATATTGAAAATTTTGTATTAACCGATGATTACAATGTAAAAGCGAGAGATGAATATTGTCGGTCATATAACACTACTAATTTTTCATATACAACTAAGTTAACATGGTATTATTTTGCGCAATTTTGTAATTCATCAAACGAAGAAATTGATGTTGAGTATATGGTCAATAATTTGCCAAATTATTGGCTAAAATATTTTAACGTATCAAACGTGATAGAATTTGACAACATTGACCATGCTCATATCGACCAATATGGTATAGCAAACTCGACAATAACGAATTTAAAGGAATTCGGCGAATACATTGGTTGTACGTTAAACGAGCAAAATTGTGATAAATTCCGGCCACCAGTGGTCACACTATCGCCGTTCGGCCGGTGCCACACATTTCTCGCCGACATATCAATGGCTGACAATATGTCCGCACAAACCGATGGCTTTGTAACCTTATTTGAAGAGAGGCGACAATTGGACGGCCAAATAAATCGGATCGATATTTTGCGCAAACGTTTTATCGTTCACTCGCGGAAAGAGTTACCAAAACTGACGGACAGTTGGTTTGAATACAAGGATTTTGTGACAAATGGCGACAAACTTTTGGTAATACTTATACCATATGAGTTGAGACGACTGCCGGCGCCGTACGATAGCGGCCGCCAATCTGATGATGACTCCGGCGATGGATGTGTCGCGAGGTCTGCCACCGGAGACACGCAATACGATTGTCTGCAGCGATGCTATCGTAAGCAATACGACAGTCAATACACAAACACAACGCCGTGTTATGCGGACAACGATTTGCCGACAATTCAGTTAACGATTGGCCATAAAATTATAACCAATTTTGTTAGCCATTGTTCCGCACCATCCGATCGATCGCATATTAACCGTAATTATTGTCAACTCAAATGTCCGGCCGATTGTCGGGAAACTATATATCGCATGTTTAGGAGGGAAACAATTTTTAAGGATAATGGCAACACATTTACATCGTTTTCATTCGCCGATAATTATTATTTGCAAATTAATTATGTACCACAAATTAGATTGGTTAATTTAATGATTAATATAATTAATGTATTGAGTCTATGGCACGGACTCACAATTGTCGCTATTTTAGAAACATTTACTGTTTATTTGAGAAATAAGTTGCGTTTACTTTCAATCGTACGGTTCGTTTGCCGACACTTATGCTATCGATTCGGTCGGACATCACTTTTTATACCGCTATATATTCGGGTAATTTATTTATATAATTTCTGAATTTAATTAATGTTGTGATTAGTATTTATTAATTGTACTACGTTAATTTGACAATTTAATAGATGTTATTTTAGTTTTTTAAATTACTAAATATTTGACTATTGTGTAATATGTTTTCAATTCATATGTTATTCATGTAAAACATAAAGTAGACTATACTCTACTATATAATTATGGTTATTATAAAATTTTTATTTATTTAACTTTTAACTAATTATGTTAAATAATTTTAGCGAACATTTCTCTGCCTAATGGCGGCAATACTTGGTTACCAATTATACGACGTGTCGGCCGACTATTTTGCTTACAAAACAATAACCTTATTTGAAGTAATGGACAATTCAATGGACCCGCACTTACCGCACATAACACTCGTCTACGAGATAGACAGTGGGCGCGGAGATGACGATTATGGGCGGTGTTTGAGGTCAACACATAAATTTCAATGCCGTCCGTCCATTACAAACGATCATCTGTTTAACTACAGTAATATCGACGCCAGCGGTACGACCCGTATAGCCATCGGCACCGCCGGTGACACCGATTGGTCGGGTGTGGATATCCGTTTGCTGAAACGGCTCACATCGTATAGCCTTTATTCGACCCCTTATGTGATGATTAGTCTGCTGTCGAGTCGGCAGTCGGTGGCCATCAGTCGAATCGACGACAGCAGCGCCCGCTTGACAGACAACGTTCGCCAGTTTGCGGTCATTCGTCGCTGGAGTGACGCAGAAAGCGGTCACCCGTTATACGCGTTACTCCACTACCACTCAGTGGCGGACGTCGACCAGGCGTTGAGCGCCGCGCAGCGACTGTCGACCGTTAACCACACGTTCGCCGTCACCAAAACCGCGCGTCGACTGTTGCCCGAGCCGTACGGCCGGTGCAGTCACTACGGGTCAGACCCGGCCAGCGGTGCCGAGGGGTCGGGCAGTGGCCAACCGTTTCGCGCGACCTCTCACTGGCATTGTATGAGAAGGTGTCGATTGAGTTACGCTCGAAAAGCTCCCAATGATTGGTGCGGTTTATATAGTGTTGACTATAATTTACATGAATTAGATTTTGACGATCACGTGATTCACAGCCGTTGTGCGCATGAATTGGAATGGAAGAAAATGTCATTGCTAATTGGGTTTGAAAATTTGGACGAGGTGAGTTTAATAAATAAAGACTAATTCCATTTGTTGTATGAATACTAAAATGCAAATATACAGTATATTTAATTGATATTTGTATTTATATCTGAATGTGTGATAGGTTATATTTTAATTAGATATATCAATAGTTACCAGATTGTGTTATAGATACCAGTTTATCGTATATTTAATTGGCATTATTTAATATATCATACAGATTTGCCCAAATTTTTGCCCCAGAGCCCATTGCTGGTATATATACATTTAATCACAAAGTTAGCATTCATTTTACCATTTAGTCTGAAGTGTCGGTTCAGTGTCTGTCGTATTGTCCGCCCGATTGTCTGGCAATCGATTATCCCTCGCGTGTTGTCAACGATAACAAGGATTACATACAAAAAGTGTGGTATAACTTAAACCGATCGGACGATTGGTATTCATCACAGCGTTTGGTTTGGGACTCAACTCAACCGATGTATGTCTATAAAGATGAGCCCATTATGTCATTCCCGGCGTACATGTCATACATCGGCGGACTCTTTGGCCTCTGGTTTGGCACTAATGGCCAGCAATNATCGGCGGACTCTTTGGCCTCTGGTTTGGCACTAATGGCCAGCAATTGATTGTCGCCGTAATTGACAGCCGATTATGGCTTTGGTTGAGGCAATCACTTGTTGATAAGTTTTCACGTCATAACAGAATTCAAATTATTAATGTTAAATAAATGTTAGCATAAATAAATGTAAGCATTGTCTTAAACTTGAAATCAGGTAATTAAGCAACTTACAATTTGTAATATAAATCATTAAATAAAATATTATTATCTGTTTAATAATTATATTATAAACTACACGCTTTGAACACTTTTGCAAAGTTAAATTATCTTTTATTTAATTAATAATACATGTAGCAACTTGTGTATTTTAATCACTAAGTCCGGTAATCTGACCAATGAACTCTAAAATGAATAAAATTTTCTAATTATATCAGGTAATTCAAATTCATTGTAAATATACATTGGGCAATAAAAGTACATCATAACATTTTAGCATTTTCTAAACCTAAATACATGATAAATTAATAAAGTTATCTAATTACAACTCAAATTACACCACAAATCACATTTAAAACTAACCGTCAAAGTGGACACTACCGGAACCGTCTTTGTCAAAGTGGTCGACCAAGTGGTCCAACTCATCGGCGGTCAACTCATTATCCATTGCCCGTAAAATATCTTTCATATCCGCATCATTAATCATGCCGTCTGAGTCCGTGTCGTACGTATCAAACGCTTGGAGCAAATCCTGTGCCACAACCTCAGGGCCCTCCTCTGTCAGGAACCGCTCGGCCAACACCAGGAACTCGTCGAACTGTATGCGGTGGTCACCGTTGGTGTCCGCGTTAGCGACGATAGACTGTAGATCTTTACCCGTGGCAACCCTCATGATTCTAACCATATAAGCTACCGTATCGTAGGGTAGGTAACTTTTATGTTGCGGATCGAACGTATTAAATGTGTGCCGAATTACCTGCACCTGATCGGTGGTTAGATCTAGGTGATTGTGGAGTACAACAAGTTAGATAGATTTTTAAATACATTTTTTGTACACTGTTAATGAATATAATTTATCTTACCTGTGTCACGCGTTCGGATCATTCCACCTAGATTTGGTTATAAATAATTATTTCAAAAACAAATTATAATAAATTAGTGACACAATATATAAAGTGTGCATGTATATTACATACCCCTATTTCTCGTATGAACGGAATTACATGTGGTCATCCTTATCAATGCGAACCATGTCAAACTGGTCACATTTAATGCTGAAATTAATTTCATTTTTGTAATTGATCATTTAGATTTACACCTAACATAATATATTTTAAGCATTACAATTGTTTCATGTTAATTTTATTTTGTACCATCTCAATTTGATATCATTCTTTGTAAATTGCAACATATGTGACACTATGATCGTTTCAATTGTAATGTCATACAATTATTATTTCGAGCTATGTGTTTTTGAACGTTGCGTATAAAAATACAATTACCTGAAATAGCATTAATTATTAAATGAGATAAATTAACGTAATATTTATCATAATAAAAGTTGCTCCAAACTAATAGATAATACTGACACCTTTCTACTACCAGGTTATTTTATCGTGTTTGTATTTGTGACTTATATACTGTAGAAGGCTAAATATGCTTTGATTGTATTAAAGTTACATTTTTATCATGATAGATTAAAATGAAGTGTTAGGCTTAAATGATTTATAATTAACAATTAGCAGTAATTCTTATTATTGCATTTATAATGCAAAATACAAAACAAACTTAACAAGTTTTTAATGAAAAACAGCAAGTTACTTATATAAGTTTGTACAAGATTATACAAGTATCACGGTACATAGTACAGTACATACACTAAACACACATTATTATACCGATATAATACTGGCTAATCAAAACTCCAATCAAATCTATATATTTAATTAAAATTGGCATAATAAATACATTGATTATTAAACTATTTACAGCTTAGTTATCATTAGAAATTATCTAGATAATAATTATCAATTACTTTTCCAATTGGATTTATTGTATAAAGTAGCTTGGTTGTATAATCTCTATACGGAATCTATAATAGTCTAGATTAATATCAGTTTGAGTTTATACAGGTATTTACTTATGTAAGTTGTAACAATAGTTCAACAATTATCATATTTGCCCGGTCTTAATCTAAATCCTGTATTTCAAAATAATTGCTGATAATACAATATTAACCATTAATCTTAACTTGTTGAGATTTTATACATTATTAACAGTTTGAACAAGATTAAAATATACTTAAACATGGTATATAAACAAATGTGTTAAAATTAATTAATTAAGTTATTCATACTGTAGCAAGAAATATTATCATTCTATTAATATTAACAAAATAAACTCAATTGTGTAAAATGGGTAATTAAAATATTTTTAAAACATGTTAATAAAATGAATACTAATGAAAATTATTGAATTTATCATAACTAATTAAATTTGTCTCAGTTTATAAACAAGAATGGTTAAAAGCAATTATATTAACCGCACTCATGATGGGTATATCGTGTTATACTATTGATAAATATGAGCATGTTTGCCCACCACCAGAGAAACTCAGCCCATGCACATGCTACTACATAACTCCCGTTGACAGCCCATTCCAAGACTATGCCGCTATAAACTGCACGGGTGCAATTACCGAGAACGTGGTACAATTATTTGCCAGACTGGGCGAGTCGCTATAAAATCATACCAAGTACATTGAGCTAACATTAAACGCGAGCACCGTGGTCGAAATACAAGCCAACGCGTTTGGCCCATTTCAGTTTGACTCTATCGATATATATGGTTATGGTAAGCTTAGGGCGGTTCATCAGGATGCTTTTAACGGTACCCAGGTCACATCATTCAAGATAGTCGACTCGCTGCTTGACCAAGATATTTTTACCTTAATCAACGCGATTCCTGAACTAGTCTTTGTGAATATTCAGCGCTCCAGATTGACCAAGGTGCCTACGGGCGCGTTTCACTCGCATCCGGCGTTAAAGTCGATTAACTTGTCTAACAATCCCATAGTCAGTGTTGAGCGTGGTGCTTTTCTCGACATGCCCAAACTAGTTTACATTTTTCTATATGGCGATCAACTAAATCAAATAGCCCGCGGTGCTTTTAATCTCGGTCACGGACGTAATATACAGTTGAGCCTAGTGAACAATAATTTAAGCAAGGTAGCCTTAACGTCGGAGTGGTTTGACTTCACCGACGAGGGTGTTTTATTGTATTTACAAGACAATGGCTTTAAATACATAGATAAGTCGGTGTTTGGCAAGTTTTTATTAAATAAACCAAAGCGCATGATCTATTCAAATACCGAGTGCCACAATCCGGGTAATGATTGGTTACGGGAAAAGTATCCCAATAATTGGTATGATGAAAATTGTTATAAAAATAAATAACTAAATAATTATTAATTATACTTGTAATAATAATTATAATAAAGAATTTATGTTTTAAGCATTATATAAATTAAAATTCTTTTATGTTTAAATTATTTGAAAATTATTTGAATGGCAGCAAAAATATTTTCATTATTATTTTAATCTGCTTTTCATGTTTAATGATTATAGAAAAACACAATTACTCAACATTGTTATATTACGCCTTCGGGAAAGTAATAGCATTTTTGTAATAAAAATTTTAAATTATATTTTTAATATGAAGCAATAAATTATTTTATATTTTGTCTTGGCCATAATA